AGACTGAAACACTGTGTGCCAGCCAAACAATCCCAGGGTCTGCTCTTACCCACGGTGCTCACCTTGTTTCTGTATACCCTATCGCTCGGAACTCACCAACTTGCTTGTTGTTGACTTGTTGTTTGTTGTTTTCTTCACATTAACCTCGTGTCAGTTGCTAATCCCAAATTCTAGCAAAGACTCGGTCCGTGGTCACAAATATTCTGGAGCCATCAGAAGATCTAAAGAACACACACATTATTAGCAAGAATATGGTTCGCAAGCCTGAGGAGGTACACCTGCAATCCCTGCAGCACGTTTGCATGCTCACAACTCAACTAAACGCCCACACACTACAAATCGACTACAGCAGCAGCATCACCCCCCTTGTCCCGCATTTTACCAAATGAATGTTTGTCGACTACTACAGCGTACTGCTGTCTGAAGTGCTGTGTGCAATAATACCACCATGGGTGCATGGTACACAAGCTCGGGGCATGCACCTGCTGTCTGAAGTGCTGTCAGAATGAGTCCGTGGACATACAACGAAGAAGAACACCCAACCAAAGCCATCGTTGCAATTGACAATCACCCGAATCTATCCAGATCATGTGTGTTAGGCACAGCAGAGTTAATATCGACACTGATAAGGAATCGTTCCACATTGAAGGGGTCTTCCACGATGCAGGTACACAATTAAAGCACCCGGGTTATCCGCACCATCTCTGCCGCGTCTCTCTACAAAACCAGTGACGTCAGACGTGTTCACACACACCCAACACCTGTATTCAGGAAAAAAAAGGGAAAATATTTGACAACACAAGAGATGTTTGTCCGTGCGCCACGGTTTGATGCCGTCCGCCTGCTCCGGTTCCGCTGCTCCGGTGCCGCTGCTCCGGTGCCGCTGTGGCCAGTCGTAGCACGATCAAACTCGACCCGCTCCGCTTCGTACACGCTCTCGTTGCTGTCCATCCCAGTCGGTTCCTCGCTTTCTCCCTCTGAAAGATAAACTACGCGGGGTGCAGCAAGCCCGTGTTTGGCGTCTCTTGGGGCAGTGGGTAGTCGGCCGTGTTAGGCCGAGAGAGAGAGGTAGAGACAGATATGGCGTTGGCGTTGGAGAAAGCGTTGCAGAAGGAAACTTGATTGGAGAGAGACGGCGGTAGCGGTGGAGAGAGCGAAAGCAGTGCGCTACATGCGCGAGCCTTCAACACCGCAACCAAGGCCAAAAGGGTCCTTGTATCTGCACCGGTGGTACCCATCAACATACGAAATTCCCAACACGTATCCCCCAGGATCCTCACGTCTAGAGACTGCTGCGAGTATATCAAACATCCCCCCTGCTCGCAACAGTATCTTCACTGCAAATTTCGAAATAATACCGGATATCTCAACCAAAAGACGTCTTTTCCTGAATATATGCCATCAAGATTACTTCCAAAATATAAGAAACGAAAACCACGTCCAAGAAACATGAATACTGCTGCATCGCGCGTGATATGAACTTAGCGCGGAAAGCAAAACAATCAAATCGAATGCCAAACCAAACTCATCAAAAAAATAAAAAAACTCATGCCGAATTCATCACAAAATCACGGTGAGGCGCGAACGCATCCTTGGGCAACCTCTTCGTGAGAACGTCTGCACGCTGGTGCGGAGGCGGCACGTTGATCACCGAAATCTCCTTCCTCTCTACCAATTCCCTGAGAAAATGGTGCCTTACATCAATGTGCTTCGAGTTCGAGTTCGAGATGGAGTTCTGCGCTAGTTGAATCGCCCCCTGGATGTCCTCAAAGACTGGGATGCACGGCTTGCTGACCTTCGGCACCATAAATCGCCAAACCTGCCTCAAAAACAAAATCCCCTTCACTACATCGCCAAGCGCGACATACTCTGCTTGTCGTCGAAAGCGTAACACACTTCTGCGTTCTGGAACACCAAGACACGGCGCCTCCTCCGCATGTTACTATCCCCCCTGATACCGACCTACGGTCTGCTGCCTTGCTCGCAGAGTCCGCATCAGCGTACCTCTGCAAGCTGAATCCTTCTACCTACCGTACCTCTCTGAAATGAAACACCCATGTATCTCATCCTCTTGGCATACCCTAATATACCCACCGCTGCATCCCAGTGCACCTGCTTCGGAGACGCGCAATATCTAGCTTCTGCCCTTTGCATTCGCATTGTCTAGCCTAGTCTGAGTCGCCAGCCACATCAAAGATCCTACTAGCTCACGAAACGGAAAATCTATCGCCTCTTCATCCGCATCAAAGTCAGAAAGCTTGACCCCCGAAGACATGGGAACGCTCTTACTCCCTGCTACTCCATACTTTGCTGCATGCTCATCGGTGAAAGTCTGCTGAGAAATCGTCAGCCTACCAGTCTCCTTACTTTTCTCGTAAAAGCACCCGGAATACTATCTCAACTCTCCCAGGTTCTTCACCGGCACGGACTTGTTAAGGTCGGCGCAAAACGTGTCACATCTCTCCGTCTCTCCCACAGCAGAAACTGTCATCTACATGTACTACCAAAATCAAAACCACACACCCCCCTTCAATCAATCGAAACACACAAGCATCGGCCATGCACTGCTCAAATCCCAACGCAACCAAACACCTCTTCAGCATTGCATGCCACTGCCTAGATGCCTGTCTCAAGCCATACAGACTCTTGCCTAGTGTAACAATCATTCCAGATAGAGCTCCACATCCCTGCGGCAATCGTATGTATACGTCTTCTTCCAACTCCGAACGCACAAAAGCTGGCTCAATATCGAAATGACACAAGTCGAGGTTCAACTCGCACGCCAACGCTGCCAACACCTGACACACGAAACAGAAACGGTAGGCGCATACAACTCTACAAAGTCAATGTACTCTCTCTGCATATCACCTCTCGCTACAAGTCTCGCCTTGACCTTAGTGACCCATCCAAACTCATCTGCCTTCCAATTGAATACCCACTTCACGATAATCGCGTTCTGCACTGACTGCTACTTCGCCGGAGTAAAAGTCCCCACTTCCAGCAACCCGAAAAACTCCCTTTTCATCGAGTCGCCCCAGAGGTGCCGGTACTCCGACGCCATAACCTCGTTGTAGCTCTTGGAGATGCGAAGGTCGGTCGCCTGGCAGTGCGGGAGATCAGAGCGTTGCTCCGGCGGGCGCTGGTCGCGCAGTATGGCATCGATGTCTTCCCGTTTGGCGAGGAGCGTGGCACATGCAAGTGGTAAGCCCGCTCCTCCAGCCCCCAGGTCCACGGCTTCGAGCGCTCCCCCCTGCTCTCCGGTCTCCGCTCCCCCCGGCTCTCCGGTCCCCGCTCCCCCCGGCTCCCTGCGCTCCTCATGCACCGCGCTCTGGGTCTCCAGCATTGAAACCAGAGTGTTCTTGTCCAGCATCGAGATGAGCCCTGTGCTGTGCCTCGTGCCCGATTTCGTGCGGCCTGGCAGTCGCGGGTCCTTCATACCCTCGGCCTTCTTGCCCGGGCGAAGCTGCCGCATGGCGTGGGCCGAGAGCGGGGGCAACGCGGGGCCCGGCGGCGGCGGCGGCGGCGGCGGTAGCTGAACTGGAGATGGAGTCGCCGACGGTGACGGCGATGCGGCAGAAGGAGTCTGGCCAGGAGCGGGGGTCGCCGACGATGACGGCGAAGCGGCAGAGGGCGGCTGGCCAGGAGCGGGTGCGGGCGACGGCGTGGGCCTGGGCGCTGGCGGCGGCTGTGCGGCGGTCGAAGGCGTCGGGGCTGGGCCGAAGTTGATCGAGACGACCGGCGTGAACGGGGGATGCGTCGGCGCAGCGGGGATACCAGCGGAACTCCCCTCGCCGGCTGGCGCCGACGTCACCCACGACACGTTGTTGGTGTAGACGACGCGGCCGGTGGACGCCTTGAGGACCTTGACGGTGCCGCTCGGGTGGTTGTCGCCGCCGTTCAGGTAGTAACAGAGCGTGGCCTGGTCGTCGAGCTTGGTGCGGCGGTCCTCGCGCATGAAGCCGGGCTGGAAGAACGGCAGCACGCGGAACGGCCCCTGCT